TTTCCTTGTGGCCTCTTCATGGTTCCCATTTGCCTGCGGGATCCCAAGGTACTTGTAGCTGTCCTCAACATCTGCTATGTTGCCTTCTGGTAGTACAATCCCCTCAGTTCTGACTACCTTCCCTCTCCTCGTTACCATTCGGCCATACTTATCCAGTCCGAATGACATTCCGATGTCCTGGCTGTAGATTCTAGTGGTGTGGATCAGTGAGTCAATGTCTTGTTCACTCCTGGCATACAGCTTGATATCATCCATGTAGACTGATGGTTGCTCCATTCTGTAGGCAATATCCATAACCACTCTTGGTGAGGATCTGGCTGAGGGGGTTCAGGCCTATGCAGAACAGCAGCTACTATGATGCCTGACAGGAGCTTCCATATTGTGCAGAGGATCAGGACTGTTCCTGTGGATCATGTCAGGGCCTGGTGCTGTCCAGCTCTTCATACTTGAGACCTTCTCTTGAATGTCTGCCATTGTGATGATTACTGGGTCTTGTGCAGGGAGGTTGCTGTGGTCTGCCCTCAGGTCCACCAGCCACTGGGCATTGTTGTTGTGTGATGCCTCCTTCTCCCATATGCTCTTCCAGAACTGTTCAGTCTCCAGCCTTGATGGGTCTGCTCTCATGTTATTACCCTGCCACTGCGAGTACACCTTGGATGGCTCAGTGAAGAACATTCGGTTTATTCTCCTGGCTTCAACTTCTCTGGTGTACCTCTTCAGCTGTGTGGCCGCTGCAAGCCTTTGCTTGGCAGTCTCTAAGGCCTCAGGTATGGACAGCGAGTTGTATTTCTTAGGTACCACTTTCTTCATCACGCCTTTCTGCAATTCTGATAGCTGGCTAACTTTTCTCCGTGCTGCTTTGATCTTGGTCTCCAACCTCCTTCTCCATGGAGGATACTGCTCCTTATGGCCTTTGTTGAACTTATAACCAAGCATCTCAACGATCACAGTTGCTGTGGTGTATATGATGGTCTCAGTGATGGCCGTGGTAGGGATTCACATCATCTAGTAGACTTTCAGAAGGTACTTCAAATAGTCTTGGTCCATCTTGCTCATGATCTTCAATCTCAGGTCAGCAGCCCTTGAATCAAGCTCATCCAGGCCTGTTATTGGGGCTTGGTACCCAATCTCCAATTGTGGGGGTGATGATGATGATGATATCTCCCCCCTGACCTGTCGTCCTGGCTCTAGTTGTGATAGCAGGTGCTTCTTGCGGATGTTATAGCACTGAGCTTCAATGTTAGTGTATAAGTATCCATAGGTCCCACATCCTCGGTATGTAACCCCTTTTGCTGGGGTTACTTTTATAGTAGCATTCCAATAGTTCCCTGTTCTCCTCTCTTGTCCATGAATATCTTGTTCCAGTAGTCCACTTCTCATCAGGTTCCCCAACACCAGGTGTGTGATTAGTGACTATCTGGAAGCAAATTTCAGCAAATACAAGGACTTAACACTGAACAAAGAAAATGCAGTGTGTGCTAACAAAAAAGGTCACTGCTCCTCAGCTCTAATGATGATATCTGAGCACTGTATCTGAAACATGTCTGTGTGCCACTCATTCTCAGGCACGACACTTGAAGTGTTAAAAACTATATACTTTCTTAACAGAGAACATCAAGTTTTCTCCTATTTTTCTGGGTTGAAAACTAAACGGCACTCCACAGTGATTGAAATTTAGATTGTAGACACTTCTCAGTATCGTTTCAGAATTCATTATTTGGGAGCTCATTATTTGTTCAATGTTGTATGACAACCAAATTGAGTTTGTTACACCTCCTGGGTATGGTTGTTTATTAGCTGTTTTATTGTTTTAGATGCAACTGATTTTTTCTATGGATTACAGATAATGAATTTTGCTTTTATGGCTTTAACACTAAATATGTCCAATATCTGTATGAAGCCACTGATGTTCGCTGTCTAAAAGTGCACTGTGATCTCATCAGTAGTTTTACATTCTCATTACTGCCCTGCGATTTATGGCAAATTTAATTAATTATTTATCCAAATATGGGCAGCATGGTGGCACAGTGGTTAGCACCGTTGCCTCACAGCGAGAAGGTTCCGGGTTCGGGCCCCACCTGGGACCATTCTGTGTGGAGTTTGCATGTTCTCCCTGTGCTTGTGTGGGTTCTCTCCGGGTACTCCGGCTTCCTCCCACAGTCCAAAGACATGCAGCTTAGGTTGATTGGTGTCTCTAAATTGCCCATAAGAGTGCATGTGCGTGTGTGGTTGTTCGTCTATGTGTTAGCCCTGCGATGGATTGGCGACCTGTCCAGGGTGTACCCATCTTCGCCTGATTGCTTGCTCTCCCCCGTGTTCAGGGACTAAGCGGTAGAAAATGAATGAATTTATCCAAATATCAAAGCAAGCGATAGCGTCAGTAAAGTATACAGTAGCTTCATTTACTTCTTTCACACTTCTTTCAACGTTACAAGTTTCACAATATTTACGATCATGTTACTTACCATATGGAATGACTGTGGCAAAAATCCAGGGCAGACATGATCTGTCTGAAGAATTTCCTGGCCTCTTTTGGCGTTAACCTGCCTTTCTTCACCAAGTAGTCAAACAGCTCGCCACCAGACACATGTTCTAGCACAAGGTACCTAAGAGAAAGGGAGATGGGAATAACTGGAGGAATGAATGATAAAAGAAGGACAGCAGAAAAAAGACTCATACACATAAAAAATGAAATATTTCTCCCCCTGAAAGAGCCTTTGAAAAAAGGAGAATCAAAGCCTTTGACCTCACTGGTCTGTAAGAACTGGAGAAATGTGGAAAAGATAGCCTTACACCCTTACAGCCATTATACACAGACAAAACACCAAGGATCAATGATCCTTATCTCCCAAAAGCCATATCATGTTGACTGTTTATTTTTTTATTTTGTCATCTGTACCTGCTCATACAGAGTCTGAAAAATATCAACAAATTTATTACAAATACTGTGGATGTGACGGGTTCGTGATATTACACACTCTGACCTCCTATGAGAGGCATGATGCAGCTTCACTTCACTACAAAAAGATGGGAAACTTGTATAAAAAGCTATTAGACAAAGTATGTAGGAAACTCTGCTTAAGTACAGATGATGTAAGAATCTGTGAGTGTGAGTTCATTCTTCTTTAACCTTTCAAAACACGCATATACACATAATCTTTCCTGCCACCATATACCACTCTACAGGTGGCCGTCCAGCCTACAGTATGTGGCTGGGCTTGTAGGTGCCGCACTCCGTCATCCTGGCTATATGGACATGCTCTAGGGCTCTGAGGGGACAGGGAGAAGATGAATCTCAGCTGATGCAGGCCTAAAGCTGCATCTTTGGGCTGAAAGCCAGCAGTGCCCTGCCTCTGCTCCAGGCTGGCCGGCTCGTATATCCTGTGCTCAAACTCCCTCCATCTTCACTAGGACAAATTGAAAATCAGACAGCTGGTGAAATACGCTCTTTCTTCTCTCACTCCCTGCTGTGTGTCTACATCTTCAATTTTATTGATTACACTATAGTGTTCAAACAGGTAATGGTATAGTATGGTACAGTATAGTATAATGGTAGCAGGCACAGTTTTACTTGTCATGGGGAGTTCTACTCAACCAATTAGAACAATTATGAGTATATATTTAGTGTGGCTCTGGAATAGAGGTTTCTAAAAGCCGAGAAAAAAAACACCAATATTATTTTGACTTGGAAACTACAAACATTCATTGAAAAGATTGTATTAAAAAGAAGGGATTTGTTTGAACAAAGTGGACATTTTCTAGGCTGGAATGGTCTAAAAAAAAAAATGCTGACATGTTGCATTAGGGAAACTGTAGAATCCAGCACTTTAACAGTTTAACCCATACGAAGGACAGAACACCTGAGCCTTACTGCTAATACCATAAAACATAACAAAAACATCAATACATTTTCAGCAATGCAGGGGCGAGGTGAATGCTGGATTTTGACCTCTGTGTGTCGGAATGGGAGCCAGTTAAACATCAGATTAGATCTTTAAAACAATCTCTCATGTGTTTCAATTAACCATTGTGTTACCTATTCAAAACTGCACCAAACGTCTGAGATAAAACAGCTTACAGCAACGCCTTTATAAATCAAGTGCGTCAATGGTTTATGTTCTCGTAAACTGTGGAGCGTTTTTTCAGTGACCATTTTTCATTCTCAAAAGAATAATTGATAAACAGCATGATATGATCATCCATTCATTTCTAGCAGTGAAACAGGCATAAATAATAAATTGTTGAGCTATGTATTGCTTTCCTTCCACTTCTCTCTCATCTCTTCTATTCACACCACACCAGTTTAAACAGCTTGTGATGGGATCTTTGCCAGCAGCACAATACATCTTAAAAGCTCTAAGGCTACTTGCTTCAAACACACTGTGTGTCTATCAATTATTGGCTTTCAAGTAAAGATATCTGAGTAAAGATCTAAGCAGAGTGTACATAAGTCATTGGTCATACAAATGTAAAGCAATTTGTCCTCTGTGATGCTACTAGTGATCAACTGTCAAACGTGATGAAGCAATGGGCTTTAACTGTGATTTTAATAATCCAGTTATAGAATGAATCATAATACTCTGCTCTTCCTATCATCTCTACGTACAGTATTGCATGCCTAATCCCATTTGGTCTGCAAGCTCAAGACGAGAACTAATTAAATTTAGTTGACAAACAGTTCACTGTAGATTAAGAGGCCTAATATAAATGACTGATGGGATTGTCACTCACCAGTGTTCAAGTTAGCTAATAGAGTTTACATGCCTATATGTGCGTGTGTGCGACAGACTAATACAGCTGCCACATTCCCTGGTTAATGTTTCCTAATGCAACGGTGTTACCTGATAAACGTGTTGTGGTGTTTACACTGCGGAAACTTCCTCTACCAGTTTAAATGCTTCACGTCAATACTAATGGAGCATCAGCCCCTCCAATGCTGCTACTGTTGTTCTGCAATCATAATAGATCAATCAGAACTGCTTCAAAGTCTGTGGGCTTTAAGACTGTTCTGGCATCTGACAGAGCACTAGATAATCACTGTACAAACATACAATCACTTAGTGTGAACAGTATATTTACGATAACTCAAGACTGGACCACAATCCGCCAATACTTACAAGTATTTTTTATTTTCGTAGACATCATGTAGCTTTAAAACATGCGGGTGTTCTATGAGCTTCAGAATAGCTATTTCTCGCTCCACCTGCATGAGAGAGGGATGGGGAGAAGGGAGAGAGGACAAAGAGATTTCATTAGTGTAACATCCATATCATGAGGCTCCTAACTAGCACTCTAGGAACTCTGTCCTACCGTGCCCTCTTTAACTGCATCTTTTATTTCACTGTTGCCAATACTGAAGCACCAGACACACACACCAGCACTGTGATGATTTCTCACAACTTTTTTTTTAGGTTATCTTTGAAGGTCACTATTCAAGAGCAGCAATCTGCCTGTCTTCAACAATAACAACACTTTACCTGCACAAGGACTTAAGAGAAATAAGTAAAGAAATGAAAGGAACTGAAAAACACCTTCTACTGGCAGAAAGAATGGATATAAGCGTTGACCACATTGCATCCAGACCAGGAAGCAGAGTTATCTCAGGTGGAAAAGATGGGTTGCTTCAAAGACCAAAGGAAAACAGCTTGTGTTTGTCTAATCTTGTGTGTCCTCTCCTCTCTCACAAACAAGTCTTGCTGAATACTGTGCAATCACATTTCATAATCCTGGGGTTTACCTAGGGTGAACATAAATCAGCTTGGTTAGATAAGGAACAAAGTAGAATAACCTGTCAGAGTCAGACATCACACACTGGAGCATTTCTGTCCAGTAAGAGTACAACCTGTGGGTGAACTGGGGTCAGCTACATCATGTCCCAAAGGAAGCTTGTTTCCTGCTGTCAGTCAGATACAGTGGGTACTGTATACATACTAGGTGTGTAAATCACCACTCTCATCACTATACAATCCTACTATATTGATTGATTCTAAATGTTTACCAATACTTAAAAATATACCACGAAGTGATTTCAATTTGATTCGATTCAGAGGCCTGTAATCAATATATTGTGTTTATTTCACACAATTATATTTTTATTAACTAATATGTAACATGTATAATTTTAAAACTACTGAACTGTTCACATTTATGATGTCATACATAAAATAAAGCTGGAAAAACAACTTTCCTACATTGCAGTGGGAGTTTTGTTTAAAACTTAACATTCACACTTACTGCTATGTGTGTCCTTTTCATACCCATGACTTGTTTCTGATGGAACAGTTTACTTTAGCTGTGTATTTTTCTTGGCTGCTATTGGTCAAGGTCAATTCTCATAGAAAGTGTTTTGTCACTTGCCCCTTTCAGGCAACTGATAAAACTCCAGTTTATCAAAAGTGTCAGTCCAAACAAGTTCCTTCTTTCTGGTGCATTTAACAAAGCGCAACACCCACATTTTATTGGTCACTGTCCTGCTGACAGACAAATGGCTGTTCTGACAACAGTGACACTGCACAGGTTGGAGTCAGTGTGGACTGAACGGATCAAACGCTTCAGTGGCTTATGCGTTGCTCACTTTTAGTGAGCATTTCCAGTCTCAGAATGCTAACTGCACCTCCTGGCGCTTGTTGTCCAGTTTGAAAACAACAGTGCTTTACCAGAAATGCACACAAAACATTAAAGTTTACATTTTGCATTGATGTCATCAGATCACGGGGAGTTTGATCGATGTATCAATCCAGATCAATAGATTGTTACACATCTAATACATACAGCATACGACCATGTGCAAAAAACGCAGACTGCTCAGTCTGTGCAAGTTTTCTTCTTTTGCTTACAGAGCTGCTGAGAGACAAGTACACTGGACTGTGAGACCAGTAAGAGATGAATTTCACCAAAATTGAGCAAATCGGTTTTGATCTGTGTCAGCATCTACAGTACAAAGGTTGTAGTCAGCACGTGCAGATGCCACTGACAATCAGCATGGAACCCTCTTCGAATGAAACCAATACTAATCTTCTGCCCTTTACGCTCGTCTTCTGGGCTCCATGCAGTATCTGCTCACCCCTCTCCAACACATTTCATGTCGTCCTCCTCTGCCCTCGGTGTCTAACTCTGACTGACAATTATGGAGATGAAAGCACAGTGAGAGTTAAAAGTTCCTCTGCCTCGTCTCAAAATCAATTTCACCATGTCACTTGCCTGTGACAGCCTTCACTTTGCTTTAATGTCAAACTCATCATGGCTTAGTTTTATGAACAATCTCTTCTGAAATTAGGTCAAAGTCCTGATCTGCCGGTAGTTTTTTTTGTTTTGTTTTGTTTTTTTTGTTAAACTCCTACAAAGCTGTTTGCTTGACTAGGTATAAAATTAGGTTCCTCCTCCTTAATTATGCCATCACACCGTTTTTTTTTTT